CTATGAAAAATATTTGTAAATTTAGACTATTTAAAAGTTTTTGAATTATGTAAGTCTTCCAAAAATAATAAAAGTGAAAAGACAAATCAGAAAGATATTTGCAGATGACCTTTACCCAATATATGAATCAATGGGGAAATAAAAATAACAAAAATAAAAATGGTCACAGAATCTGAATAGACAGTTCTCTCCAAAAAGGACATAAATGGTCTACGAATGTACAAAAATATGCTCAATCTCTCTAAAATGTACGAAAATTAAACTTACTCTGAAACATTTTTTCACCTATCAGAACGGCACAGATTAAAAAGGTTATTAACTCCATTGTTGGCAAGGATGTGAATAAATGTACTTTGATACACTGTTGGTAGGAATGCAAGCTGGTGTAACGTGTTGGAAAGCAATTAGGCAACATTTATTACAAATGTTAATATTAACATCCTTTTGATTCTGCAGTTCCACTTCTAGGAATTTATCCAACAAAAACAGACTCACCAGTGCTCAAAAGATATGCATACAAAGAAGCTTATTACAGTATTGTGTAAAAAAGCAAAAGGCTGGAAACAACCCAAATGCCCATTAACAGGAGATTATAAAATAGAGTAACGCACACGTCCAATACCATAATATTCCACAGTGCCATTGACAAGCTTGAGCTAATTCTACGTCTTTAAGACACAAGTGTGTTTAAGATGCATTCTAAAGTCAAGAAAAGCAAGTCACAGAGCTGTATAGATAGTATGATACTATTTTGGTAAAATATGTTAACACATACAAAGGGGAAAAAATCTATACGAAAACTCGCCAAACCACTAATTATTGTATTTTTTTCTATTGAGTGAGATTCTGTAGTCTTTTCACTTTCATTTAATATATCCTTTTTTTTTTTTTCAACAAATAGTTATTGATCATCTACCATTTGGCAGGCAGTGTGCTAGATTCTGGGGATATAATGGTAAACAATCCCAAAGCCATATATTCCTATAACATAATTCTTTACAATAGACATCACTACCTTAATAAGGAAAGAAAGTTAGATACTTAGAAGACAATTTGGTTCTCTTTATTGCAATCCTAAGCCTTCCTCACCAGTCCCCTAATCCACTGTATTAGTCTTTGGTGTTCCTGTCCCTTCCTCTCTCTGGTGTAGGAGATGGCCCACAGAAGGCAGGAAAACCCCCGAAACGTGCCAAGTGGGTTCTTGGCTTTGCAAGAAAGAATCTGAGAGCTAGCCAACTGGCAAGAGAAAGGTTATTGAGAGACAGACAATAGATACTACCCCACAGACAAAGTAAGGGTCCTCTCCCAAGCAGAAAGGGGACCCGTTATAGGGAAATGGTAACATTTTTGTGTGTTCAAACACCCTGGTAGGAAACAGCCATATCTGACAAGTATTGTCTTGAGGTCAGGCCATAAAAGCTCATCATAAACTGCTGTCACAGAAAGGAAAGCACCAGCAGTTTGTAAGGCTTAGTAATTCACCTGTCCTCGGGTGGTCCCAGGTGGGTGACATGCTGGTGATTTCCTTGTTCGGGGTAGTTAGGGTCTGATATGGGCCAAAATGGCTGGAGTCAGGCTCTCTCGACCTTCCTTTTCTGCCTCATCCCTACATTATCTTCCTTCGCTCTCTTTCCTCTCTTTTTTCTAAAACTACATAGACCCCTCCCATTCTTTTTTGCAGGGGGACAGAGTCTCTCTCTGTCACCCTGGGTAGAGTGCCATGACATCGTAGCTTACAGCAACCTCAAACCTTAGGTTTGAGCAATCCTTTTGCCTCAGCCTCCAGAGTAGCTGAGACTACAGGTGCCTGCCACTATGCCCACACAGTTCTTCTATTTTTAGTGAGGATGAGGGTCTCATTCTCACTGAGGCTGGTCTTGAACACCTGAGCTTAGGCTATCCACCTATCTTGGGCTCCCAGAGTGCTAGGATTATAGGCATGAGCCACCACGCCCGGCCAAATAAACCTGTTCATTTTTAATATACTACCCAGGCTCAGGTATTTCCTTTATAGCAGCACACAATGGACTAACACGTGCGGGATTCTCTGGGAGCCAGAGGCAGTGTTCCTGCCACTTAACACACATAATACCTGGCATTCAGAAGATACTCAATACATTTTGGTATATAAAGTTCGTGCTGGCAATGGCACTTGCCCAGATCACCTTTCAAAAGAACCTGCTGGGGGAAACGCAGTTGACTGAGAGCTTCCAGCTGTGATGCCCTCTGGTCCTTTGTGGTATCCCATGGTTTCTTCAGAACTTTAGCAAAGCAACCTTTACTTGGAGACTTCTCGTGGCCTAGACGAGATTGCACTGCAGCCCAAAGCCCCTCCCACAAAATCTCCTCATTTCCACTCCCCTTCCTCAGATATCAGACCTGCATCTTGGTCTGAAGGCCCCCTTCCCCTTTCTCCCTTCCTCTTTATCCTCTGCAGAAAAAAAAAAAAAATCCAGGCATCTGATTCTCAGACAACGCAAACCAACACAGAGATGGATGAAACAAAATGCTGGAAGAAAACCTATAAATAATAAGACCACTGATACACTTTTATATGAGAAATACCTGCATGTACAAAGATGTGCTGGATCATCCCTGCTTCATAAACTTCATTGTGCAAATGAGTCTCCTGGGAATCTTGATGAAATGCAGATTCTGGTCTAAAGTAGCTCTAGGTTGGGCCCCAGATGCTGTATAGTCAGACCCCATGTTACATAAAACTCGCACTTACAAAGGCTGTTACAGTAAGTCCCTGAGTTACAAACATCTGATTGACGTACAACTCATACTTGTGAATGGAGGCTATTACATATAGGTATTATATAAACGTACCTGGGTCTAACTTACATAGAAATTCAACTAAAGAATAAACCTATAGACCCTATCATTTTTATACCCTGGGGACTAGCTGTATTTCTAATAAGTTCCCAGGTGATACCAATGTGCTGCTCCAAGGACCACATATTGAGCAACAAGGTGTTTGACGTTTTCTACTACCCTGCTGTGTCTTTTTCTTGCTGTTCCATACCCTGGGAGACTGATGGCATGGACTACATCCAAGCCTCTGGCTTCCAGGTGGGTTTGCCAATGGGAAGCATTGGCAGGGGGTCAGATGGCAGGAGGGTAAAGCCAGAGGTTGAGACTCCTCTGGGGATAGCTCCCTACTGAGTTTCTGTGGGTTGCCTGTGTCCCTCTAGCTCCTAGCAGGTAACCCTGCAGTTTTGTCTCTTGAGGACTTCCAACACCTGCTCTTCCTTTCTCTTCTTCAGGCGAGGTGTGGTAACAGCTCCCTACTATTACCAGCCCTGGGGTACTGCACCATCCCTGTGGCTCTTAGCAAATCCTGTCCACACTTCTGTAAATGGTTCTTTCATAAGCATTCCTGAGTTCCTCAGCCAAGTGTGTCATCTGTCCCCGCTGGGACCCTGGCTGGTAGACACAAGCTCTGGCTATGTTGCTCAGGATTGTCTCGAACTCCAGGCCTCAAGTGATCCTCCTGCCTCAGCCTCCCAAAGCACTAGGATGACAGGCATAGGTCACCACAACCTGCCTAGGATTTTTTATAATGGCAGAAAACTGGAAACAAGCTAACTGTGCCTTGTTTTAAAATGATTAAATAAATTACATCAACGTAATGGTGCTATATGCAGCCATTAAAAAAAATCCAGCAGTCTATATTCACTTACATGGAAAGATGCCCGAGATATTTGTTAAATGGAAAAAAGAAAGGAAAAAGATGAAGATTCAGAATAGTATGCATAGTGTGAACCCATTCATTAAAAAAAGTAAATTATGCCATTTGTTAGCATTCTAATTGCAAGTAATGACAACCCTGTTTTAAATAAACCTATCCAGAAAGACTGGTGGGACGGATAGATTTTCTGACTCCATCTCCTTGTGTCACTTGGTCTGCTTTCCTTTGTAGCAGCTTCACTTTCAGGCAGGCTGTCTTTAAGTGGTGGCAGAGTGCCAGTTGGTTTCCAACATCTGATATCACCACAGCTGACAGCATCAGTAGAGTGGACCTTCTTCCCAATTGCTTCAGTGAAAATTCTGGGCTGAAGCCAATTACGATGGGCTTGGACATGAAAGCCCAGCAAGCCACGAGGACTGTGGGTGGGGGAGAGATGCTCTCCTAAAGACAGAGGGTGTCTATAGGGAATATTTACTAGTAGACATTTGTTATCCTTTTCTACTGTTCAGCATCTAAAACCCTTCCTACAGTGGGCAGCCCCCTACTTTCTGGGGGAAGAGAACACCTCCCGTTATTACAGATACTGAAAATGCCAGAAACTCACTTTCCCAGCCTCCCATTTCGTCAGGCAGTGGACATGACCTAAACTGGACTGATTCAGACATTCCCACCTCAGGCTCAAAATCAGAAGCTAGTGACACCAAAAAGGGCCTGCACCAAATCCATGTGGGAACAGGTTGCCACTGTGGCATGATTTGGGGCATTGTTCCTGGCTGTAGGGTCTTCAGAAGGGGTTCTGACCTTTGTGGGTTCTCTGAGCTATGAAGGAAGCTTGTACTAAATCTGTTTTAATTATTCAGAAGGTTTTTTGCTGTGTGCAGTCAAGGAGCTTGAATAATGCCTCTGTATGCCTGTATGTATCTTTATATACGTGTGACATGTTTTTGGAAAAATAAAATAAATGTGAGTATGGGTCTGTGAGGCCCAGGACTTGGAGGGTGGGTGAGAAAGAAATGGGCATTTACTTTTGCTTCATGCCCTTTTGTACTGTTGAAATGTAGTTTTACTTTTATATCACTTTTATATTTAAATAACTAGTTAATAAAAATATATGAAAGATATCTGAATAAAAAGAATAAGACAAAGGTGCAATGTATTCAGGATTTTCATGGAAACTCCTGTTTACATTAGACCTTCCGAAGAAAGGTCCTCACCTCCCTTGTGTGAATGAGACCAAATCTGGAAGTCTGTGAGCGCATACCACCTCCGACACTGGCCTGAGCCAAGCTCTAGCTCTGCAACTCACCTGCTCCGATATTTTCCTTGGCTCCTCATTGCTCACAGAATAAATCCCACAGTCTTCCTCCAGGCACCCAAGCCCTCTGCAATCTGAGTTCTACATACTTTCATGACTCTTCCCCATCTTTATGCTCTGCCTAGAAGACGTTTTCTTCCAGGCCTACTGGCCCAGATCCTAAGGACACGGTTACCATCATCTCTGATCCACCAAAGCCATGACTATTGTCCCTTCTTCACACCCTAGTCAGATTTTGCCCTGGATTATAATTCTATATTCATATTGGAGACTTAGTCATTTAACAGTCAAGTATTGAGCACCTACTGCATACCAGGGATTTTGTTAGGCTTTGGGGTCACACACTTCAGTCTATGGAAACCAATTACCCCATATTAGAGGGTTAAGGTTGGGCAGGTGGCACAACATGAATTATTTATGGGCAGGGCTGCTCTTGTGAGAACCTTCCTCTTTCCCTCTGCCTGGATTACTCTTCTCGCACGTTAGAATGGCTTGCTTTCTCAGTTTCTCCGGGTCTTGGCAAATGTCACATTTTCAGTGCCCATTCTATCATGACATCCTCCCCTCTATCCCATTTACCTGGATTTATGCTCCATTTGTTGTTTTAATAGGGCTTATCCCCACTACTTCTTTATTTACGGTTTGCCTCTTATCACTATGTGTTCCAGGAACAGGAGGACTGAAATTTCATTTTGTTTCTTGCAGCTTTTCCAGAATCCAGAACAAGGCCTGGCATGTAGCAGGGACTCATTCCTACGCACAGTATTTGTTGAGAATGCAAAGAGTATTGGAGTAGATATCAGAAGACCTGAGTCTCAGTCACAACTCTCCTGCAGGATAGTTGTGCAGTCCGGCCAGACGGAATCTCTAAGCCTCAGTCGCCACCTCTGGTAACTTGGGATGATTGTCCAGGTTCTAACTGGTGGCTGGCGGGTCTGCCATGCAACACTGGTTCTCCCTTTAGCACCTATCAGAATCACCTTGAGAGAGTTTGTCAAAATACAGGTTGCCGGCCCCACACCGAGAATTTCTGATTCTGGAGGTCTGGCGGCCAGAAAATCTGCATTTGTGCAGTGTTGCAGTTGGTGCTGATGTGCTGGAGTGTGGGCCATGCTTCAAGGACCGCAGATAAAGACAGATAAGGTACCGAAGGCTCACAGCCCCAGCAGCCGGGCCTAGATAAAGTACTGGCACTAAGGACCACGCAGGACCTCGGCGTAGAAAAGAGTGGACCCGTTCATCCCTTAATTCACTCCACTATTTAGAAAGCGCCAGTTAAGTGCCGGGAGCTCGGAGTGGGGTGGGGTGGAGGGCGGTCGTCGGAGCACGCCGCGGGTCAAGTCAAGGCCCAAGCGGCTGTGAACTCAGACCCCGGCCGGAGCATGGGGAGGGGCTGGGGCCACCGCCCAGACCTCCGCACAAGGCAGGAAGTCCCCAGAGCCGCGAGCTGGCGACGAAAAGCCAGAGGTAGGCTCGCGGGCCTGGGCGCTGGAGGCTCCTCGGAACTTCCCGAGACCTGCGATACCCCCAGACGCGGTGACGGAGACGCGGCCCCGGCCCGGCGCGCGCCCGC